AATGTTCTAGCCGGAGCATCAGGGGAGAGACCAGCCGGCCCCCAGACCATATCGGCTAATCCCTTGCATCTCTGCCACGCACGGAATCGGTTGAAAGTATAATGTTAAAAAGTCTAGTCTATTCGGTGCATTGTTTTCAAGGCTATTGTTATGCTGATTTACCTGAAACCGTGGTCCAGTGGATAAAACTTGGGTATTTCCATAGCATTACAAAAGTCAAGTCCGGCTGAGCAAAGTTAGAAGGTGGATGGGTGACCTAAAAACTATGCCTAGTTTTTTTGTTTTGTTTTTTTTAATTTTTTTTATTTTAATTAATTTATTTATTTATCTATTCATTTTTTTATGTTTTTAAACTTTCAATAGATTAAAATAATTTTAAGTTTACGTTGAAATAGTCAAAAAGTAAAAACTTCCGGGCATTTAATTCCTGACTAGAAGTCTGTAATCATGAGCAATGTTTCTTACCCATGGAGAGAATCGTTCGCTCCTGTGCCTAGCTAGGAAACACAAACAAATCAACAAGCTATTCTAAACTGAGTCCCAAACGGCAAAATTGACATGCACTCGTCTAATCAGCAATTCCTTTCTTATTTGTAGCAGATCGTATGAGCTTATTGCACGTAATAGCGCCTAAACTAGTTGCATCACTTACATGATTTAGGATTAACCCCTTCCTAAAATGCCTTCCCTTCACCTGACTTAGGCGTGATCCCTTAACCTTATTTAGGAGTATCCCTTTTTTTAACATGATTTAGCGAGAGAAATTCCGTTACCGGGACTAGGAGTATATCCCTTAACCTGATTTAGGAGTATATTTTTAAGCTTCAAGCATCGACTTTACTTCAGAAATAAAATTTCAATTATCGACTGTTAGTCGCTTCGTCCATGATGACTGTAGCAGTTAGAAATCCATTCTAATCATCCTCGGTTTCGTGTACGATTGCTTCATGATACAACCAACTGGAAGGATAAAGAATAACGGGCTTGGCTTGTGATTGAGTGGTGTGTTTTGAGAAAAATACTACATCCCGGGCGTAGAGTGCATTTCACAGCCCCCTCACAGACCAAATTACATACATTTATAGTATTTTGTGAGCTCCTTCTCCGCCCGTGATGTAGCCTTCCCCGAGATCCCGGCCCTCTCCTGATTTAAGAGTATCCTTCCACCTGATTTAGGAGTATCCCTTCACCTGATTTAGGAGTATCCCTTCACTTGATTTAGGAGTATCTCTTCGCCTGATTTAGGAGTATCCCTTCACCTGATTTAGGAGTATCTCTTCACCTGATTTAGGAGTATCCCTTCACCTGATTTAAGAGTATCTCTTCACCTGATTTAGGAATATCCATTTACCTGATTTAAGAGTATCCCTTCAGCTGATTTAAGAGTATCCCTTCACCTGATTTAGGAGTATCCCTTCACCTGATTTAGGAGTATCCATTAACCTGATTTAAGAGTATCCATCCACCTGATTTAGGGGTATCCCTTCACCTGATTTAGGAGTATCCATCCACCCGATTTAATAGTATCCATTCACCTGATCCTTCACCTTATTTTGGAATATCACTTACCTGATTTTGGCCTAGGTAGACCTTACATGAATTAGGCCGGATGAGCATGTGATTGAATGGGTGTGTCTGTGATGAAATTATTACGTAGAGTACATCTCACAGCCACATCCCAGGCCGAATTTTCTTGACCTTATCGGATAGGTGATTGATTTTCAGCAAGCAATTTCCACTTGCAGTAGGGTTATCTAGTATATTTCACACCCACCCCATCCCCCCTCTCCCATCCCCTGGGGTGTAGGCCTGTGTCCTACATGGCTCATACATGCCTATGATCCACATCAAAACCTGGCGTCATTCTCTTCCATCCTGCACGATAGTAGCAAGCTATTTAGCTGCGCAGATAGCCAGAGGTCCAAAGTTGATGAAAAGTTTTATTTGCAGGTAGCACTACTTATGTACTTATAAGACCTTCAGCTACTACCTTAATGTTCTAGACTATCTATCTTAAGACATAACTTAACAATTTCTCTTTATCATATAATTACTATGATTGGAGAGAGGAACAGAGTTCAGGACATCATATTTACTATATCGATTTAGTCCGGAAACTCTAAGCCACCATATGCCAAATATGACCGTCTTCAGAACATCCTTTAGCTTCATAATTCCAGCCAGATCCCTTCTCGTATATTAACGAGCCAGGAGCGTACCACTTGCCCTCGTAATAACAACCCAATGGAGTTGTAGCTGGCACTGGGGGCTCGGATGTTGGAGGCGGAGGCGGAGGAGGGTAGTCTGGTGAGAGTGGCTTTCCTTGTGTGGAGACGAATAGCAAAGCAACCAGGAGTAGAATGAAGCGATTCATGGTTGGGCTGAAAAATGAAACCATGCAGATAGTTGAGTAAGAAGTTATGTTTTCTTATGGTGGACTGAAACAACACCAAATAATTTAACATAATATATGACACATACGTGGAACCAATGCAACGCAAGACAACTTAACAGCAGCAAGTTGCAGCACAACACAACAGTACACAACACAAAACACAACATCTAACACAACATAACACAACATAGCGCTTCCATCACAGCACAACACGACACAACACGACACAACACGACACAACACAACAAGACACAACACAACACAACACGACATGCATGACAAGAGCTGTAAAACATAACTCTGCAGTACAGTACAGCACAAGACAACACAAAATACAACATCTAACACAACACGACACGACACGACATAGCGCTTCCAACACAACACAGCACAGCACAACACGACATGCATGACAAGAGCTGTAAAACACAACTCTGCAGTACAGTACAGCACAAGACAACACTGAAAGAGCAACAAAAGACAACACACCAAGGAACAAGACAACAGAGCTAAAAAATAAACACGAAACAACAACACAAAACAAAACCCAATAAAAAACTAAAAACTTATGAAGCCACACACCGTTTGAACCAAGTTTCGTCTAACAAGTTACTTAATTATACATCTACAAAACTTTTTTTACCTGCTTCTGCCAAGGGCCGTTTCAAGTTCACTCGTGTAAGAAGTACTGTACTTCGCTGTACGACAGTCCGCGTTTTGGAAATGCTTGGAAAAAATCCAATTATTCAATGGTAGACAGTGGTATTTGTAACATGGTATTATTATTCCTTAAACAAAGTTACTAAATAAACAAGTAGTCGGTAAATCATTATCGACCACACGGAAGGACACTTAGCCTGACAATTACACGGCTTTGAAAGTGATTAGCGAATTGACGGCGCAAAGTGTAAA